GGAGGGCCAATCATGTCCTGGAAAGCATCAGGCAAAGTATCGCCAGCCAGTCAAGGGAGGGGATTGTCCTGCTCTGCTCTGCCCTGGTGCAGCCTCACCTCGAATATTGTGTGCAGTTTTGGGAACCACCACATAAAAGACATTAAGCCATTAGAAAGTGTCCAAAGGAGGGCTATGAGGATTGTGAAGGATCTGGAGGGGAAGCTTTATGAGGAGTGGCTGAGGCTGTTCTGCTTGGAGGAGACTGAGAGGAGACTACCACTTCCTCGTGAGTGGAAGAGGAGGGCAGACACTGATCTCTTCTGTCTGGTGAACAGTGACAGGACCCGAGGGTTGTGTCAGGTGAGGCTTAGGTTAGACATTAGTGAAAGGTTCTTCACCTGGAGCATGATTGGGTGCTAGAAGAGGCTCCCCAGGGAAGTGGTCACAGCACCAAGCCTGACAGAGTTCAAGAAGCATTTGGATGACAGTCTATGGCACATGGTGTGACTCTTGGGGTGTCCTGCACAGGGCCAGGAGTTGGACTTGATGATCCTTGTGGGTCCCTTCCAACTCAGTATATTCTATGATTCTGTAGTTTTCTGAATATAGGAACTCACTCATGAAGATGAGACTTTTTCTTGCCAAAATACTTTGAAATATTACCCTGTGATTTTTTCTATGAAAAAAAAGAGCTACAGCTTTTAAAAGCTTCTTCAAGGTTCCTACTAAGTATGATCCCATTCTCACACAGACCTTCTCACCTTTTTAAAATTGAGGAATTGAAAATAAATTAAAAAAAGGGATAATTCTCGGATACTCTTTTTGTCTGAAAGCAATAGCACTTCCACCAAGGAAGGGATGGAACAAGAATTTAGACAGTTTTAGAAGATATCAGGTTAGGAGAGGATAATGTCAAAGTTAATCAGCTGGAAATCAGTGTTTAAGAAATTCTTCCTCCCCTGAATCATCAACAAAGAAGATAAGCTGAGAGCAAACCTAATTTCAGACAATTTTTAGTAATGCTTGAGTATCCTGACCCTCACTGAATTGTAAATTGTATATTCAACCACTTGAGTGAATATGGGACAGTCTGGGGACATTTTTGGTAGAGTTTAAGCTGGAACATAATTTCTTGAAGGTGAAGGATAAGACTGTGCGCTTAGGGTAGACTGTGCTTTAAGACTTTCACAACAGGCAGTCCGACTTCATCACAAAAAAAGTGCTCTGAGAATGGTCCACAAGGTGAGGAAACCAACCAGAACTGGGTGCCATCACCCAGGAGATGTTCCAGACCAGGTTTTACTCTGGATCTTCCCTTGAGCCAGAGGGGAAGTGTAAAAATGGTTGCATGGAATAATGTGACTTGGTGGTCACCTGGTGTCCAGCCAAGGCCCCCACTCTGTGGCTGGGCCTCGTCCTCACTGAGGATGTGCACTATTCATTCAGCTGCTTGGCAGAAGTATCTTTTCGGGTTCTTTGTACCCATGAAAAGGAAGACAGGAAACTTAGAAATGGCTATGGCTGTCAGCTGCTACTGTTTTCTTTTTAACATCAAGAGAGAAGATTCCTGCAGAAAAATGTTCTCATTGCTGTGAACGGAGAATATGCAGATAACTTGTTTCTTTGGTGTATACACAAAGCTGTAAGAAATCAGAGGCGATTTCTGAACCATGATCTCATTCTTAGACTGGGAAACCAAGTTTCAGGACCAACACATTTAAGGAATTTTAAGAACCTGTTCTTTAAGTGAATGCTAACAAGAAACCATTTTTATCATGATTAAAATCTTTCTAATAGCATTATTCCATGAGCCAGAAATGTATTTTTTTTAAAAGAAGTATAAACTAAAGTTATTAGGATAGAATGTGATCATAAGTAGCTTCCATTAGCATTTAGTAAAGAAGGTTTTATGCCATGCTTGCTTGAGAGCTGAAATGTTATTCCAATAAAGGTCAACTAGAGAAGTTCTGAGGGTGAAAGCCTGAATCGAGCAGTGCATCTAATACAGGGTGTGGAGTCTATCACAAGCCACAGTAGTGGAGTAATCTCGAAAGGACTAAATGGTTAGTCATCCATCAGTCCTCGAGCATTTCATTGTAACCAAATTACAATTCAGCAAACAAATGAAAATAAGATTAATAATAAATAACACGCACTTTTGTTCTATGAGGAAAACTGTGTAAAATATCAATTAATCTCAGTGCCAACCCTGACCTGAATCAATGAATATATATGTTTTACAGTTTCGGACTTGTGTAACTGTCATTAAAATTAGATAATGTTAGGCTCTGAGAAGGAAACGATTGATTTTTAGTAAGGCCAGATGCTCCACAGTGAATAGTCAGTTTGAAGAAGAGTGACTGCAGTGAAAGCTTACAGATTTAGCTCAGAAAGTTCTAAGATTTCAGCCGTTGTGTGCAGAAATAGAGTTTGGGAAGCAGTGAAGTGAAGAGTTGTTTCAGTGTATTAAGCTTGTAGTTTGGAAGAGATGAAAAGAGAGAAGCCTCTGTAGGGGCTTCTGCAAACATTTGTGTAATTTAGAAAAGATTACATTATTTTGATCATAAAATTGACAATCTGGAAAATAAATTATGACCTTCAAACCACATGTTAACAAAGACCGCCACAGAAGTTCAAAGGCAAAACCGTTGTTGGATTTATAACCAAGTGATTATTTAAAAGCTGGAAAGAAAATGCCTTTGTATTTCAATGACCTCACACAGATTGTCTCAGCCAAGACCCATGAAAAGTACTCAGTAATGGAAGTGCCATTATATGTGCTGAGAATCCTGGAAAATTCTTCTGGCAACAGGATTTATTCATTCATTTACTTCCCAGAAGTCAACGTTCCACACACTAAATAAACCACCTATTACAAAATTCACCAAAATTAATAAATTCCTTCCCAGTGATGTTTTTGACCTTCAGTTTGATTGAGAGAAAGAATAAATATCTTGGGAGAGGAAAAGAAGAAGAATGCTTTCATATATCCAACTGTACTCAGAATTTACCTCTGTCTTGAAACTGCTCTTTTCAACGCAGGAAGCGATTGACTACCACTAACTTAATTTACTGGAAACAAAATGTATAGAGTTATTTTCTTTATTTTGCAAGCTAGTTTTAGGGAAGATACTTGATAAAGAAGCCCTAAATTTTCAGATCTAGCCAGATAGAGATTTCTCCACTGTGGAGAAGATGACAAATGGCATAATCACAGAATCATAGAATCAACCGGGTTGGAAAAGAACTCTGAGATCATCAAGTCCAACCCTTGATCCAACACTGCTGTAGTTACTAGACCATGGCACTAAGTGCCACATCCAGTCTCATCTTAAAAACCTCCAGGGATGGTGAATATCCACCACCTCCCTGGGCAGCCCATTCCAATGTCTGATTACTCTCTCTATAAAAAATTTCTTCCTAATATCCAACCTAAACCTCCCCTGGCAGAGCCTTAGATCGTGCCCTCTTGTCTTACTGGTAGCTGCCTGGGAGAAGAGACTGACCCCCACCTGGCTATAACCTCCTTTCAGGGAGTTGTAGAGAGTGATGAGGTCTCCCCTGAGCCTCCTCTTCTCCAGGCTAAACAACCCCAGCTCCCTCAGCCTCTCCTCATAGGACTTCTGCTCCAGTCCCTTCGCCAGCCTCATTGTTTTCTGGACCTGCTCCAGCACCTCAATATCCTTCCTGAACTGAGGGGCCCAGAACTGGACACAGTACTCCAGGTGTGGCCTCACCAGCACTGAGTACAGGGAAAGAATCACTTCCCTGATCCTGCTGGCCACACCATTCCTGATACAGACCAGGATGCCATTGGCCTTCTTGGCCACCTGGGCACGCTGCTGGCTCCTGTTCAGCTTCCTATCAATCCAAACTCCCAGGTTCCTCTCTGCCTGGCTGCTCTCCAGCCACTCTGTCCCCAGCCTGTAGCACTTCAGGGGTTGTTGTGGACAAAGGGCGGGACCCAGCACTTGGCCTTGTTGAACCTCATCCCGTTAGAATCAGACCATCTCTCCGGCTTGTCCGGGTCCCTCTGCAGAGCCCTCCTGCCTTCCAGCAGATCAACACTCCCCCCCCCAACTTGGTGTCATCTGCAAGTTTGCTAATGGTACACTCAATCCCCTCATCCAGATCATCAGTAAAGATATTAAACAGGACTGAGTCCAACACTGATCCCCGTGGGACACCATTAGTGACCGGCTGCCAACTGGATGCAGCACCGTTCACCACCACTCTCTGGGCCCGGCCCTCCAGCCAGTTCCTAACATAGCACAGAGTGCCCCTGTCCAAGCTGTGGGTATAGAAGGCAGTACAGTCAGGTCTGTGATGTTGTACCCCTTGAGCAGGCGTGCCGGGAGGATGGCTTCATGGCTCCTGTGAACCTATATCCCTTTTTGACCTCAACCAAATGGCATAGATTAAACCCACGGGTACTTTTGATGAATAGTGTCAGATTTTATTCTGGTTTTTTTTGAAGCTGGATTTGCTGTATTTGAACCTAATTTATGAAATACAGTACTACTATGTATGAGAAGAGCACAAACTGACCACCCTGCTTTAATTTGTGAGAGTTCCCAAGCACTGCCACCTTCATATCTGCTTTCTAGCAGGAAGTGTGGTGGTAGTCATCACTCTGAAATGTTTATTTCTGTTAAGTTTTGTCCAGACTGGAGTGTTTTAATTGAGTGAAATGATACTTTATGGACAATGACCATTATGAATTCAATTCCCTTTCTGGTACTTTATTTTCTGAATGCTGACACTAATTTTCAGAGAATGTTTTTTTGGGGCCATTCCTGCAGCTGATCTCAGTCAACAGCTCCTTGAAGTTCACGATGATAAGTACATATATATCAGCTAAGGATCCAGACTTAGGATTTCTTTAGATATTACATAATACTGTTAACTCATTTTTCACTTGATGCTACATGGGATCAACCTTTTCCAAAGAGACGTTTCTGGAATGTGTTTTACACTTATTTATACCCCTCTGTTCTGTTTTGTTTTTTTCCCCCTAGGCTTTTGAAAAAGGAAGAAAATTTTATTTTTATCCCTCGTTCCCGTGAAGAGCTTCCAGAAAACTTTCCAAAGGAAATTCCTGGGATCTGTTACTTCCTTGAGGTCAGAAGTGGTCAGAAGCCGCCAAAACCCTCCATCACATCTGCCAGAGTGAGAAAGGTTTCTTACAACATTGGCACCATGTTCCTCCGGGAGACTAGCCTATGAGGCCTGCTGCAGATCAAAGACTCGTCAAAAAAGCACAAGCCCAGAACTGGGTCATGACAGGGGAGTTGGAAGTTCTTTGTATGTCTCTGCTTTGTTCTGAACAGGCGGTAAAAGCTCCATGAAATGTCAGGCAATAATCATTTTAAAAGGTGGGTGACTGCTGTCCGTAAACAAAGTAGAGATAGGAAAAAAATATTAAGCAACTTATTTCCACTTCCAGATGAATTTCTTTCATAAACTTCAGTCTGGCCCCTCTATGGCAAACAAAACGAAACAACACCCCAACTCTCAAATTAGAGGTTGGTTTTGTTTTGTGTGGAAATGATGGTGGTTCTCTGTAGATTTGCACCAGCTAAGCAGAATTGAGAGTCAGTTCTGATTATGCATTCCTACATTTAATGTGTTCTTCAGTAAGGTAATGATGTTTTTTAACTTTATGAACAAGCATTTCATACATGTACTGTAGAGCTGTTGTAACCTTCCTGGCAGGAGGAATTATAATTTAATACAAATATTGTAGGAATTTTACCTATTTTTATACATATTTCAGTTTCTGGATAATTACATTCCACATACTGTAAGCTGAGTGAGCTTAGATAGCTTTTCAGAAGAAGTTGCTGTGTATTTCATACATTTTACCAATCAAATGTATTATTATACAAGTAGGAAGAAGGCATTTCTTGACTTTTTTTGGCAACAAAAATACCAATATTTTACAGGAAAAAGACCCCAGTTTGGTAAATCTCTTTACCTGATGTTTATGCTAAAGCTTTAGATGAGCATTGTCTTCTTATATAAAATAATGTGCAGTATTTGTCGTACAGTGCTGTATGTCTAGTCTTTCCAGAACAATGCAAACAAAGTGCAGAAGATCAATATGTGGACAAATAGAAAAGTTCTCTGCAGTGGGGCTTGTTTGCCCTCTAAATTATCAGTCAAAATGAATTTTGGTAGAAGCCCTGAACTTTTTTTAAAAATTTGCTCTTGTGAAAACTTATTCTGAGGAATTCCAGCAGACACTGGAAGCTCTCTGGGTACTAGTTTTCCACATTTTTTATTTGGACTTGTGCTTCTAGTCCAGATTGATTATTTCAAATCCAATCTGTTAATAATGATTGCTCATATGGAAATTTCCTCTATTGCTGGATTGGCTTGAAGGTCTCCTGCTTTATCTAATGAAGACCAAAAAACCACCAAAAAGAGGAAGGCAGTACTTTCCCTGGTTAATGCAAATGGCAGTTCAAGATTTAGATTAGTCCAGGTCAATTGAAAAAAAAAAAAAGTCCAGTTCTTTGCTGTTGTAAATGAATATAGTATTATTTCCTTCAGTTAATCCAGTTGAAGTAAGATATGTATCTGTCCCCTAATAGGCACGTTTTCAGCATTGCTTATTTCTCAGATTTTTCTTTTCAAAGTAATGGCAGACAGTTTTCCTCTGTAGGTGTACTGCCTTTGGGGTTGTACTGATGTGGGCTGATGTTATTCTGCGCTTGCATATTGTTAGTTAAAACTTGTGCACTGATTCAAAGTGGCTTTGCTTTATGTGAGCCTAATCAAAGCTCACTGTAATCAAAGGTAAGACTCAACAGCACTAGGAGGCATGAAAAACTTTGCATTTATCTAATCCAGACCAGAAGTGAGTTTGCTTATGGATTTAGTAGCCATAATGTGAGACACGTTATGAAAATAAGTAAATAACTTTCACCATATGTCCAGATTATCCAGTTAGATCTTTCTGTCTTGAACCCGTACAGACTTCAGCCTATCAAAGACATCTGAATTTATTATGCAGGAGTGTTTTTTTTTTCTTGCCTGAGGAGGGTAGGTGCATCGGAATTAGCCCAGAAATTTACTTAAATGGACATTCACTCACTTTATAGAGCAACACTGATGTTAGAACATTGATATTAGAGCATCTTTGGGATTGGAGGAGTTAATCTTTTATCTGCCCTCATAAACAGCATCTGCAGCTCTATGGCCTGTCTGAAAAATGACTTATTGAAAAATGACTGTTCAAGCTTGAGGTTGCAGAATTTCCACCCAAACTACAGATCTGAGAATTTTCTGCCCAGGATGACAAGTTTTAGCCTATTAGTTTGCACAGACACAGGATGTAGCGTGCATTTTTTCCCTGGGAACACCAGTGAGACATGCAAGAATCATAAATGGATCAAAGTTCATGTTTCACCACTGAAAGAGGAACACTATTTCCTAGCTAATAAATCTGTGGTTTTGATATCTATACCTAGTTCCCTAGAGTGAAAATTTCTCAAATAGCTGTCAGTAGATTGAGATTTCATTCTGACTTCACTGGCACATCCTCATTGTTCAGTAGGTGCTGATGTCAGAGTGCCAATTTCTCTGGCCAAGCTCTTTTTCTCGTCTCACCACTCACAGTCCTGTGTGATGAGAACAAACATAGAGGTTTGGACCAAAAGCTTGTGGCTCAACTTGTCTCTGACAGTTGCCAGTAGGAAATGCCTTACGTTAATTCTGTAGCTGATCTTGTTTGATGGAAACATTTTCATAGGAAATGGTGGATAAATGCTAATTCTGCTAGCAAATTGGAGAAGCCATCTAAAACAGAATGTATCACCATCCTCATCCTCTCAGAGACTCTTTATTGCATAAGGAAATTTATAATCACAGAGATGCATGGTGTCAGCATCACCATGGAGACAATGACAGTGTTTGCAAATAAGTCACCTAACTCCCCAAATTACAGCAGACTTACTGTATAAGAATATATAGTCTCTGCTTTTTATAAGCTTGTGTAAAGGTAGCATACCTAGAACTTCAGCACTGATGCTAAGTATTATGTTATTGTTTCTGTGTTATGACAAGGGAAGTTAATAAAAAAATGTGGGCTATCTAGGGACACTTTTCTATGTTACTGTGAGAAAAGTGTAAAACAAATTCTCAGCACTTTTTAACTTTGTGGTTGCATCAGCTGCCTTTAATTTTAGGTTGCAAGGTTTTTTTGTTGGACACCTTTATGAAGTTAAATGAAATTTATTATCAAGATTGATGCTGTGATGCCACATAGGTGGTAGTCAGATTCAATGTTTCTTCAACAACACTTACTTTTAGTGATAAGGAAAGTGTTCTCATTTGCCTGGCATTGTCTTCATAAATAAAAAAGTTCTCAGAATATTATACCTTGGAATGATGAAGAGGAGAAGTTAGAGGTGCTGAAATGGATGCAGAAACCATATACTGTAGTTAAAACTTTCTTTCAACATTTTCCTTCCTATAAAACAGATGATCTTTTGTTCCTCTGAGTAAGAATGTACATGCTTCTGTTTCTTCACATAGCTGCAAGTAGCCACATCTGCTGTCTTGAGTTTCTGTTTGGAACAAATCCACCCCTCTGAAGAGAGAGGGAGGAGATCTACTGCATAGTGCCTGAACAAGGCAAAGGAAAGCTGACGTGAGGACCCTATCTGGGCTCATTGGTCTCTTTGTCGCAAACCTGTTTTCTGTGCAGCTTCCCTCTGCTCCAATCTCAGAGAGACGAGAGACCATGAACTGATCACAGAGGCAGATCCAGTGGCCTTTTTTTTTGTACAAAAATCATGAGGCCCAAGTAAACAGAGCCAACAGTCATTCCCCCAGAGCACTTTTTACAGATTTGTGTCAGATTTTTCTGCCTGATTGAAGCTCCCCATCACACAGGCTTTTCTGTGATGCAGTGCATAGAGGTCAGGAACTCAGAGCAAGAAGGAAATAGTGATTGATGGAAGTGTTAGAGTGGTGGATAAATTTTGTTCTGAATCACTCTGGTAATATTTGCCATTCAAAGACAAAATCCTCTGCATGGGAGAATTGCTACTAAGCTGGGACTCTACAAGTGTGGTTTTCTTGCAGGATCCCAAAGGATATTTCTTTTTTTAATTCCACAGAGCCAATAGTCATTAACTGTGATTGTGGTTTTGGCTTCAATGCTCATTCCCACAACCAGTTTCAGATCTGAGTCTGTTTAGAAAGGCTTTTTGAAGTCTGGAAGCGTGCCTCTGCAAACAGAAAACCAAAGCTTTTAAAACCTGGGAAATCTTGTATGGGAATTGTCTGTTCTGAAGAAATGCTTGTGGTTGAGTCATTAACAGGTCCTACTGCAGTTCATGTATGCATATACCATTTCACAATGCTATCTCTTCCTGTGCTCATGGTGTTCCCTACCAAGCCTAACAGCAGGATCAGGCATATTTAACAACCCTCTTTCAGTTTTTCCTATATAAACCAAGCAGTGCAAAATCGTGACATGTTGCATGTATTTAGAAGTATCAGCACTGCACTGTGGCTTAAACTCTGATAACCAGTTTCACATTGCTCTGAAGAGATCCTTCTCCCCAGCCATTTAAAAATGAAGGGAAAAAATATCAACAAATCTGCTGTGTTGAATTGCAAATAAGTCTGAAACCTGCATCAGTTGTTGGGGCAAGTTTAACTGCTGGACAGCTTTCAAATTCTTCAGCTGTCACCAGCTGTCACACTTGCATGCTCATGCAGACCATCCTGACAAAAAATCTGTAATCCAACAGCAGCATTGCAAACTTAGGACATTTTCTGGATTTTCCTCTTCAGGTCTCAGGCCACTACTTCACCTCTGCTGAGTTATCAGAGCTAACTGAGAAGAGCTAATTCCCCATCCTAATGCAGTCTCAGAGCTTCTGGCTTCATTTTTGGGTTCTGGGGATCTCTTCCAAAATTTTACATGTGTAGTATTGGAAATAGCAACATGCTTAAATTAGCAACAAAACAAGAAGCTTAAAAAAGCTTGTCAAACTCAGAAACAGTTGGTTCCCTTCCCTCAAGGTAATACATTATTCATAGCACTGTACTAGGATTGAGGGTGCCAGTGACAGTAGAGGCTGTGGATGAATTGAAGATGCTGAGTGTGCAGGAGATTCAATAGGCAGGAGTTAATTGGCTTCTGCTACTGTTTATAATTCCATCATCTTGCATGCTATGTCCTGCTCTTGGTCAGGCTTCTGCTATTCAAAAGACCCCCACTTTCCTTCTCTTATTACACTGTGTGTGATATAGATGGTGAATAATTTCTATTATTGTTCTTATTAGCATATATTGTTGACATGGCTGCTTATATCTAAAGAATAACTGGTGTTAAGGGGCTGATGTTTCTCTTCCTTGCAGCAAAGACAAAACTGCTACAATGACATGGCAGGCACTCACACCCCTAGAGAGGGAGAAGACTGCAGTGCAAATTGTCACTGGTGGATTTGGGTGAAGTTAGTGCATTAACAGTCCATGGCGTGTTCTTAGTATGTTTTATCTGTGCAAATAGAATGTTTTATCTGTGCAGATAGGAGTTACTTCTTAACAACATTACTAATTTGCAATGCATGAGCAGGCTTACAACAAAAATCTGTAAACTGTTTAACCTCATAAACATGATTGATTTTTGTGGTTTGGCTGTTAATCACACATGAAAAAAAGAAAAACAGTGAAACTGAGGAAGGCAACAATTCAGTCACAGGCAACAGGTCGTTCACCTCTGCACATGCTTACTTGTTCCTGTGGCTTTGAAAGGTTGACCTCCAGTTATCTGTGGTCCAGGTTAGTATCACTGTGTCACTATGGCAACGAAATGGCCTATGAAAAATAGCATGAAGCATTTCAGTCTGCTTCCCCCTGGGCTGGGGTTCTCATTAAAGAGGCAAATATAACATGTGATGCAAAGCGGCAACTTTGCTGGCAACCTTAGCAAAAGGATCAGTGGAGGCAGATGTTAAGCCAGCTGTTTTCTCCAGGGACTTTAGTTTCCAAAGGTAGAGTAAGACAGAACATGTTTTATTTTGGACAAAAAGATAAGACAGAATTTCAGAGAAACAAGTGTTTACCAGGGAGGCAGCAGATTTAAAGTGAATCAAGAGCGACACACTGGCTACCTTGGCTGCAGCAGTGCCTTCAGCTCTCTGGCCAACTTTGGCATTCCAAGAATCAAGTTTCCTCTGAAGACTGGGGGACAGATGAGTGTTTCAGGCACTTGTCCCATCTGCTCTAGATACAGCATGAGGCTGCCTGAATGCCTGAGCGTGCTTAACTTTCTCAGTGACCACAGATGCAAATCTAGACTAGAAATCTGTTTTTTAAGATGGCCAAGTGCGATCGATCCCACTGAATTACATTCTTTTCAGCCCAGGTGCTGTTTCTCAGATCTAGTCTTGCTGCTTTCCTGCATTTTGCATTGGCCAAAATAAATCGAATCAAATTAAGTGTCAGAGGGATAGATAAGCACATTCCGGAATAAATAAAGTTTTAAATGGTAGCCATGGTGACTGTTAAGAACATGTGCTGCTGCAGGTCTGCACATCTCTACTCCTAGTGTCTGAACCCTTTACAGATGAGGCCAGCACTGCCAATCACAACTACTGGATACCATTAGGATTGTGATTTAGAAAAGCTTTTCAGCTCTGAGCTCTTAGCCCAATTATGCAAAACCTCTGTGCCAAGTTCACCTGAACTGTATACTACAATGCCTGCATAAACCTTGTTAGTTGTCCTGTAATAAAGATGGTGATAAAATATATATATTCTAAGAGCAGAGAGAGAGTTGCCAGGTTATCATTAGCATGCATTTTTTGTGCTTTTGTAAATTTGTAGGCCCAGAATTAACTTTCCATTAGCAGAAGGTCTCGCATTGAGCTACTCATTTTCTAGGTAGTTATTCCTTAGCAATACTCTCTAATGACTACACTTGAAGCAATAAATAAAGCCATGCTAATCTCTTCTCTGTAGACTCTTGTACAACACCTATCACCTTAACAAACCACCTTCTAGTCGAACATTAAATGGTGGAATAATGCCCTGGTATGTATTTGTCCTTCTATCCTCTTCCTCACAAAAGAAGAGCATGTAGTGGAATCATTTGATTTTACAAGATGGTGTCTTTTTGTTAGTTTTCTAAAAATATATGTTGCTACTTACTTAAATAAGGAAGAGCAAAATCAGAACTGTAGATCAGAATTAGAATTGGTTGTAAAGAGAGTATTTTAAAAGTCTGCCCACTGAGTAAGACTGGTCTCACATCCTAGAAAAAATAGTACCGGTAAGAGGTGTAAGATATACCCAGAAATGATAAATATGAGCAATAAAACAGGCAGGTATATATAATGGATGACTTCTGCTTTATACACAACAGTAAACAGATGCTAAAACTGATTAATACCCAGAGAGAGCAAATACTGTTTAATCAATTCTGGCATTTGTTATTACCAGTACACCTCTAAGGTGTTATTTTTTCCTTCCTTAATGAGGTTGGACTATACTATTAAATCAATATCAGAGTTTCTGAACTCATTGCAAAAGAGCAAGGTTAGGAGTAAATAACTATCAAGAAGAGATTTTTTTAGAAGTGAGCCATTGCATGAGAGAACAGATCGTATGGAAAAGAAAAAGAGTTACTGACAGGTATATTTATTTTAGAAGTTTCTATGGCACTTCTGGTTGATTGAAATCATTCTGAAACTGTATACTTAAAGCATGGCTGCCCAGTTCAGATTATTTGCATTTGCTAAAAAGGTGAAGGTAAAATTTTTAAAGTTGCACAAGGGACATACTTCTCAATCCCACTTTCTCTGCTTAAACACTATCTCTTTCTGAAGGTTGAACCAAACTTTGCTGAGTGATTCTGAGGTTCTGAGTGCCTAAATAAGTTTTGGAAATGTGGGTTATAAATCCATATCATTTATGTTTTTTTGAAGTGTTGTTCATGATGATGTATGAAAGCAAATTCTAAGTACCAACCAGCAGCAAAGGTACATTTTTTTAGTACTAACCTAGATGATGAAATGTGGATTTTTTCTAATCTATGCAGTTTTTTACACCTTTTTTCAAAGTGATGCTCCCAGATGAGTTGCTGTGAGTGTATGAATGTTCTGATTTTCAGTGGGGATGGGGCTTGTAACTGACCTTTATAATATTCTGAGGGATTGTAAGGGAGAAAGCACTGTTAAGCCAATTCCATCCAATTTAACTCATCCACTGAGGGAGTGTCAGGTGATTCTAAGATTTACTTTCTTATTACATCTCTAAGTTAATCCTATGTACTTGTCAGTGTTTAAGTATGTAAGCATTCCTCTCTGGAAACTTCTCGTAGGTCCTGCAAGTGTATAGCGAAGAATCTTACAGAGAGAAAGTGTCTGAAGAAAGCAAAGTATGTGTGTAGGAGAGAGAAACTGTATGTAGAAGTGCAGCTGATGTTAGCTTTCATCTATTTGGAAGCTGGATGACCCAGAGATTATTCATACATAGTGCAAGAAAGTACTGTACATAATGCCATGAACTCTCAAGGCATAAGGATGAGTCCATAATCATTAGATTTTTAGTGGAATTGCATAAGAAATGATCAATTTTTTTTAGGGTTTTGTTGGTTTGTTTGGTTTGGTTTTGTTTGGTTTTTTTTAATAATAATTGAATTTCTAGTTGCATACTAAAATTGTGGCAGAAAAAGAAAGCCTAAGAAGTTTAAATGCAAAGAATCTCCTGGTTTTTTGTATTATTTGACTTTTCTAGAGGTAGGACTAAGAATTCCTTTGTGAGTTTCACCACTGAATACAAAACTAGATGTGAAATAGAAACAAAGAGCCATCTCTCCAAATCATCATGTTATTTACTGCTTGATTCCTTCTTGGAATAGTGGCAGTTAGCAAACTACTTAAGGAATCCATCGCTATGAGGAATGGATATCTGGTTTTTTTTAACATTGAAATGATCATTCTTCCTCACCATTTTTCCCCCCCTGAAACAGTATATAGGTTGGTCTTTGCAATCACTGGGTAAAAGAACAGGGGAGCAGAGGGCAAGGTGCTAGCTGAACATTCTCTCACTATGATTATATTTACTAAAGCTTCTATCTGACCTGTCCTAAATTGTGTTAGTGTTGTTATGCACTTGGAGTAGCCAGATTCTCTGACAGGATCTTGTGTCAGGCTCTGAAACAGACAAGTGGAAAGATCCAGGGCTGCCACTCTACTATACTGCTCCCATATTTCTCTCTTCTGTTTACAAGTGCCATTCTGAATCCTTAGACATCTGTGGTGATTTTCACCACAATCATGGTCATGGAGGCTGTGGGAAGCTTCTTGGGAAGAATCAATAATATGCAGTCCTCTGCAGTGTGAACTGTCACTCTCTAGAGAAGAGGGATTAGAAATAGTATTGTCCTCAAGAGCTGAGAAAACTTGCAGATAAACAGTTTCTATAATTACCAGGAAAACAAAACAGAGAGGCAGGGTTGTGCAGCAGGTTGTCCCATCTCATACACACTGATATGATAATGAAATCCAAACCCTGTGGAATTGCAGGCACATTATTCTCACTTGCTTTGAAGGTCAGCTAAGAAGCTAATTTCTCAAACGGGCTTATAGCTCTGAGAAAACGTAACGCTAGTCATTTCTTACAACAAATTGCAGTTGTCAGAGAAACTGGATTAGTAGCTCATGGAGCCAAAAATAGATACTATGGGCTTGCCAGAGAAGGATTAATTCAGTAACAAAGGTGAAGGTACATCAAAATATCGTAACATCTGGAGAAAAAGTAGCAAAAAATGCTCAACTGAAAGCAAGTTACCCATAAAATTACGTTAAAAATAGTCTGAATCACAAAGCAGAGAACAGCAGTATTTAGTCTTCATTCTGTTTTATTCACCTTCTAGATCCACCTTGCAGTTTCTGCTTTATCAGCTGGATCAGTTTGGCCACAGACCTTTCAAAGTCATGTACTTCAAGAAAGTCATGTTAAAGCCATTATTTGAATACTGGAGAAGAAGAGTATTTGGCTTGACAGTTCTATCTTCTTTGCAGGAGGGAGGGGGACATAATTTACTGCTAAATGTATTCAACTGAAAAATAAAAACTAAAATCCCCAAACCCAAATCTAATAACAGAGCTACAGAGAAAGCAAGTTTCTAAACCTCAGCATCTTTACTAAAAAGTGGGTAATTATTTTCTATTGCCTCAAACATTTGCATTTTAAAGAATTCTCTTTTGTGCCATGATTTTGAAAATTCGTATTGCTATATTGCTACTTGCTTGGATTTAACAAACTAAACAAAACAAACCAGTTCTTTATTCTTCTTCAGTTACTTCTTTTCCATAGCAGAGCAATTCCACAATTCTGCATATGACCCTGAAGGTGCAGCAGTGCACTGCAGATAGGGAACCTCAGCCTGTCTGGTGAAGATGAAAAGTTCTTCAAGGTATAGGTTGGGTCTCAGCTGAAGACACGGCTGGTACTACTTTCATGCAATTTCTACTATGACTTAAGTAATTCTTTTTACTTATGTATTCAGAAGCTCAGGAATAATCTTCACCACTTTCTTTAGAAATTCTTTCTGTAGCATGTGTCTTTTCTGCACACCTGTTATAAAATCTCTGCATTTCAGATCTGAGGCATTGACAAGTGTAGGGTATAAATAATAACGTATGTCAGCAAATCCAATATCTGTGAAAAATATTTGCAAAGTATTTATGCTCATTGTCTTTTAGATTTCTTATAAGCTAGAGTCCTTTTTGCAAATTCTGTTGTTGCAGAAGCCTTTGGTCATCATTGTAAGAGAGGTCAAGACTAATCTTGGTTTTGGGATTTAATTAGCATCAATGCCATTTATCTGGCATTCACTGTGTAGCATTATTATCGTGGCATTAAGGTTCAGTGGTGAAACAGAAATGTCAGGATAAGCAGCACCAGCAGTTATCTGCGTTGCCCATCCTACGCATTATGTACACTTTCTATGGCATACTTTTTATTTTATAGAACATGATATGACTGCTTAAATATGTAGAAAAATAGTTAGGAATAAATAATACAAAATATATGGACATTCCCTGATAGCTGTCTTTAGATATGGATATGTTATCATCTACCCTTGGGATTGCTCTGAACAAATCATGTATCTTTGGCATCTATTCTTACTTCAGTGAAAGGCATTGCCATCATCATCCCTTTAGTTGTTAAATTTCAATTACTTTAGAGCCCAGAGATTAATGACACTGGTATTTTTCAGCCATGTATTTTAAGAGAATAGTAACTGTTTGGGTTAATATTTTCAGAGAATAGTAACTGTGGTGGGCTCCACTTCTAGGACTGACTTGACATTCCTTCTTGATTTGATATTAATCTTTCCCAGTTTACTAAAATTCTGCTAAAGTTCTTCTTTGCAGAATCCCATGGTGCTTTGAAGAGGCTATGTGTATTCTGTTTGTGTAATTACTGGTGTAACATATAAATATTAAGGCATTTTCAGATCACCATTCTGGAGAGTCCAACCCATGTTTCACAGCCACATATAATTCCCTAATTCTTTTTGCCACATTGCTCTTCCTCTATGGCCAACTTTAAAGAAGGAACTGAATATTACTAAAAATTATCTAGTGGTTCATATTTATATATTTCAGTGGGATAAATTCATGATAAGGAGAAACTTTTGCAAAACAAGCTAGTGTTATTGGCATGAACTTCAGAGCCTAGGCTCATAAAGTCATAGTTCAGTCTCTCTCCAAAGCCTTTGAGAGCAAATTGAACTCTGCATGCAATATCTCACCTAGAAGAACTGATAACAAATTTCCAGTTGTCTGTCACTGTGATCCTGGCTCTCCCATCTAATCAGGAGTCATGAAATTCATGAAACCAAAAATGGAAAATCTCATACTTCTGATACTTGTTTAAACACTTTTTCCAGGAGTCATCTCTAATTCTGAAATTGGTGATTTAACTGGCAATTCATTCAGGCTCATCTTCATTTCCTCTACAGGTAATGCTAGAGAACAATTAACTTTGATGCCTTAGAGTTGTATCTTTCAACTTTTCCCTTTAATTTCAGTGTTGCCAAAGTAATATCTGAGGGCTCATTCATGTCTAAGGTGGTCAAAAACATCTTTAATAACAGAGACAGACATGTGAAGATAGCCTGGATAATTGTAGGAAGATGGATGTTCACCTGAGTTCACAATGCTCCGTTTTAGGAGTGGGAATTTTAGGAAGAGTTATGAGCTGCACATTGTCTTGTTTCAAACTTCCCTGTTTTGGAAGTTGGATAAAAATATTTGGTCCTCCTAAAATGTGAGTGACCACCTCAAAGTCTGCACTCCTGTGGAATGGCCAAATCTCCCCTCAGTGCAAATGCTTTTTGTGTAATTCCGTAATACTGGTTTAGTGTTGTCTTATAAAGCTTCTCTGAAAAGATGTACAAGCATTCTGCACTAACAAGATTACAACCTTGCACTATCAACAATGGATGCTTAGCATTAAAATAATCTTGGATGCCATTAAAGACTACTAAAGCTCTATCAAGGTTTAGAGCACTGTGATGTTTGTGAACCGAAGCTGTTTGTATAAAATTTCTTACAGATAAAAAGATAATCTAATTAATGACGCTATTTACATTTTAGTAATACACAGAGGAGATAAGGTGGTGTCTCTAGACTTTTCTGCCAACTTAGGGGTTAAGAGATTAATTTTAGTACTCTGTAGATCTGAACATTATTTTAAAACATCAGCCTGCAATCTACTGGGAAGGGATGTGGCAGGTTAGATGTTTTTAGGTTTTGCTGTGAGATGGCATGAACAGAAAAGGTCAGAAAGCATACAAGCCAAGATCTTCCCACACTGAAACCAAGGGAGTAATTGCAAAATTGAATCTGGTTACTTGTCCTGTAACTAGCTGTTCTGCTAAGGAATCCACCTGTCAATGGAAGCAGAGTCCATACAAACTATCACATGCTGCATTTCAGTTTTTTTACTGGGAGTTGTTTGGCAGACTTAGTGGTCTGGAAGTTCCAGTAAGTACCTCTGGTTGAAAGTTGCTATTTCAGTTATTATTGCTTCCCCAAAGCAACCAAAGACTTACTTACTTGAAAAAAAACAAACAAAAACCAATGAAGTTTGGTTTTGTCATTTGTGTCTTTAACTGTGAGCAGTTGAAGTGCATGATATATGTACCAACCAGGCCTGTACTGTGTCATTGAGCAGGTTATTCAAGGCCACAGCAGCAGTATAACACATCCGAATTCAGTATTAATCCCTCCGTGGTAATATGAGTCTATGTAAAAAATTGATGTGCCATATGTGTAGACCATGGGAAATTTGTGTGTGCAGTGAACTATATATGGTCTTAAGAGCTTTAACATTTGTACTGCTCTTCCTATAACAATGTGTGTCTTGATAGCTGTGACCTTACGGGCTTCTGGAAAAAATGTAATCTAAAGTTTATTCTTCTTGTTTTAAAATCACTGCTTTGTGAGTAACTGTTTACACAGGCCTGCATACAGCAAGGAGTCTTTCTTCATGTGTTGCTGGGAAATAGAAAAGCAGATGCTATTTGTAAATCTTGCAGGCTTGCAGAGATCAGTGAATGCCTTTCCTGAATCTCCTCCTGATAAGCCACTTCTTTTTTCTAGCAAATGCAAACAGTGCCAATAGTCTGGGCCTTCCTTAGAAGAAACTAATAATTTGTTAAACGGCCTTGTTCTGTTCTGCTTCTATTGATACTTCTTAATTTTATCTTTTTGCCTCCTTTTGAGTAGACTTTGGTGATATGATTCTTCCAAAGTGTAGCTGAGGACAAACAGTTTGCCTTTTTTTACCCTTCCTTTTTCAAAGCCACTGAAGGCTTCAAACAAGAAGAAAGAACTTTACAAAACTCATGCAGGTATGTTGTTAGCAGATAGCAGAAGGATAAAACGGCCTTCTAAGAGTACTCCAGATTATCTTTTAACAGCATGCCTGCACTATGTTGTGACTTGTCATCTTGCTTTCATAGTGTGCCCTACTATAATGGTGTTTGTTACAATGAGGTCCTTTTAGTTTGTTCTAAAAGATTTTACTTGTTTGTCACCATATTAGAAACACAATGTGCACTCTATAAGAAAAGCAATATACAATATACTCTCATCTATTTCAATGCTTCTAGTTTTAGGCTAGTATTCATATAAATGTTTATAATCAAAATACAGGTTTTCTTGTTCTTCACAGGACCAAGCAAAATTTTGCCTTGTCTAAATATGAACAGTTATCTAAATACGAACAGTAACACTCTTTTCTCATGCTTCTAGTTAACTTGTGGTGGGCTCCATCCTACTGATTCCCCGTTAATGCATTTGAAATGGAAAAGTAATGAGCTATTTCAGTGCATGACCTTTGCACAGTACCTGATTCATAAAGAAATAGATCCAATATTTCATTTATGAGTTACTAGTGATCAGCAAAACAACAAAAACCCTTTGAAGTTCAGCTGAGTAGGTTCTGGAACTCTTGCATTGCTTATTCAGTTTCGCAGTTTCTTGAGTCATTAAAATGGATATATTTGATGAAACCTTTGCCACAGACACTGGCACCAGTCTTCATAAAAAACTGTTCAAATTTCTGTTTCACATTTTATGTGGAAGTGTGCTGTAATGGAGCAATTATCTGGATTAAAAAAAAGAATCATACAAGGTTTCTTCAAGACAGTTCTCACTTTATTTGACCTAGTCCTCTGGTAGGTAGCTCACTTTAATTATTTTTTGTCATATTAGTAACACAATATCCATAAAAATGTTCTCCAGAGAAACTCCACTGAAGAACATTTTTTTCCTAATTGTGACCAGAATACCTCTATTTCAGAGCTAAGTCACTGAAGAGGTGATCAAAGAAGGCAGAATATTAAGACAAATCGAGAAATTTTACACACAAAAAAATGTGTGTATATGGTTATAAAAGTGCTACAACAGGGAAGTTATTGGTTTTTTTCCTCTTTAACATTTGCTGATATACGTAAGAACTGCTTATAAAATATTTATTTTGTCCCTCACAATCTTTCTTTTGAAGCCAAGAGAGCTTCAAAGTAAAAAAAGTTACTTGATTGCTTTGCATGAATTACCTAGTAAATGCAATCCAGACACCAAGTCCACCCAGATGCCAAGTCCATCCAGACTGATTTCAGTTGTCACAAAGGTAGCTAAATCACTGGAAGTCATTGACAGAGCTTGGTTTTGTAAGCACTGTAATAAGACAATATGAAGTGCTTCAGTTCAGTTACATCACCAGCTGCCCAAAATACCACCCAGACTATTTTTCTCTCCTTGCTTAAAAAGGCAAATAATTAGCTTAAGTCTGTGTCTTTGCATTATTCAAGTTCTCATATGTGAAGACTGCATCTGGTAGTATGTTGCAGTCTTGTTTTCCCATGACAGAGAAGATGGTTTATCTCCTTTGTGATACCTTTTTTTTTTTCTGTCTGGAATTTGTTGACATCTCTTCAACCATGTCAATAGCTTTGTTTGGGCTGCTCAATGCCTGGAAATCCTGGATAAAAGACCACATTAAACATGTGCAGAACAATTGTTTATATCAGGAGATAAGTTTTGTATGGATATTTTATGTTTACTGCTAGGGGCAGACCAACTTTTCAAGGGCACTGGGTTCACCTTATGCTGTAGAACTGATGTGTATGGGCACAACACATGTTGACACATTGCTCAGCTAGTGTAGAACATGTGGTCGTGCATTTCAGTGTGGCAAATCTCAAGGAAAAATTAAATTTGCAGCATTTGGAATTTCAGATGTTGGCAGGAGTACAGGATTTGTATTACCTACTCTTTCTTGTGTCATGAAAACTCTCTGAAATTATAAGAAAATAAGAATAAAAAAAAAAGAAATAAATTAAGTCAATTGTAAGGCAGAGCTCATTTATCAAATTTCGTGTTCCACATGTGGAACTAACACCATTCAAATACAGTAGTCAACACTGATCATCCATCTCATAGGAGCTCCATTTCTGTTTCCATAGATAAATTTTTTACTGAGTAGATATAATATAATACTGCCATGGGGCAGGAGGTGACAGTCTTTTTTAATAACCACTGTTTAAAAATTGGTTGCTGAAATGGTCAATACCCAAAAACCCTACTGCGACATGGCAAGTAGGGTTCTCTTTCCAGCAAGGTTTTGTGGTAGGAACTTTGAATGTTATTGTGAATCAGGATTGATCAGTGGTGGTCCTAAGCCTTCACAAATAAAGCAAATTATTGCATCACAGTCAAACTCCTGGCTAGTACTGCCATGCCAGAAACCCCGTGTTCTGAACAATTGGAGGCTTCCTACCTCCTGGTAATCCTTGCAAAACAAAACGATGTGGCTCCTGTTTTACAGAATAGGAGTCCTTGTTTGGGCTAAAAGTCTGCAAAGAGCTCTGTAACTGTATCCTACACCCCTTGCTGTGCAAAACCATCACTGGCCTGATTTTGCAAGAGTTACCTTTGCTGGGTAACGCACAGTCTGTAAACAGAACCATAGTCCAGTACGTTAATGTGTAGCTCTTTCCATCTAGGGACAGGACAGTGCTTTTCCCTGACATGCATTTGGATTTAAAGCTTAGTTACATGGGCCATTTAGGCTGCAGTTCCACGTGTGCTCAGGTGAACAGTGAAGAAAGGACCAGGGGCCTCATGCCAGGCCTAGTGCAGATGCTGTGAGCCAGGGTGGGGCACTGCGGCCATACCTCATCGGGTGGTCATAGCGGGGACTCACACACCCAGTGTCTAATGCAGCATTCCAAATATCTAAGGATTTATTTTTCCATACATTCTACACACATGCCTATGTATTTTATGAATCAGGTCTGTGATCAATGTTTTGAACAACTCGTTTGCTGCGGTTTCATGGGGTTATTATCTCTTTGGTTTGTATTGTAAATAATATTGTACATCTGCTACTTTATGATACAAATGCCATGTGAATTGCTTATTTTTAAAATGTTACTACTCTGTTATGGTTTATTTGCAATGCCATCTGACAGTATTGGTTTAATATACAATGTATATGTATGGCATGAATTAAATTGCTTATATTTTGCAATGTCGAATATTTTATTTTTGTTTTTTAAAATTACTACATTTCATCCTATGCAGATCCGTAAATGTTTCTTAAGTGGCTCATTATGTCTGAAAATATTGCTTCCTCTCCAGTAGTGCAGCCATAAAACTAGTATTTCTGATCAAAATCATCAGATATATCATCTAGAAATTTCAGATTAGAAATATATGTGCAAATATGTAAGCATTTATAGTTAATCAGAACATCTACTATATCTTCCTTGCTTTTCATGTAATGATACATTTTAGTTATTTTGTATGCTTTTTATTTGTAATTATTTGTGACTCATACACAGTGTAAATAACATGTTTCATTATGCAAGATTTCTAGGTATTCAAGATTAAAAAAAGTCGAATTTGTATATGAAAAGAAATTGACGGTAGATTGGAATGACATAAAGTGGTGATGACTATGTTCTATTTATACTGTTCATTTCCAAATTGTCTGTTAAAGAAAAAACATTTATTTGTCCTTTAATGTTCAATCATTTATTTGCAGCATATTTACATCAATAAATCATGTAAAAGTCTATTAAAGTCATAATGCATCATTGAAATTTTCTCTTTTTCTGTTGATGGCTTACCTATGGAGAGCAGAATTTAAATATACTAAAACCAACTCAGGCGATACAGTCCAAAAAGTCAGTGAAGATATTTGTGGAAAAGAACTATTTGCTCCTAGATCTCAAACCTTTCCTTATAACCAAAATCCAAATTTATTTAAAAAAAACAAACCAGTAAAATACATTACAAGAAAATGCTAGATGCTTAAAACAATTTCATGTATATCTCTTGATATGTAAGCTTTGTTTTTGATGGATGTTGCCATGTAAAACCTTACTGAAGTCTTTGTTCTTGACTGAACTTTCGGAATTTTAAGGCAGAGCTTCTTAAGAAATTTAACAGATTGTTGGAAAGAAAATATCTGGTTTGAGTAACTATGACAGCTGATTTCAGTGATTGTTCAGTTCTTGGTTCTGTAGAACGACAGAGCAAAACCAGATTTCAGTCCTGGAGAGCAGAGTGAGAAAACAGGTGATATTGCAGTGAAATCTCAGCACATTGCTACCAACACCAGAACAAGGGAAGCTGGCATGCTGTAGTGTCATCAGTTGTACAAATGCTGCTCGCATTTCTCACTCTTTCATTCCTTCTTCATCTTTTCTATATCCCCAACTGAGAAAATGATCCATTTTGCTCTGCTCTTTTTTTATAGAAGACCATTAACTAGAATTGGTTGCAATATTTTTCAGTGGAATATGCTACTGGGAGAAAATGGAATTTCAATTAATTCAAAATGATGATGGGGGGTTGATTTTGACATTTTTGTACCAAGTGTGCTTGGCTTTCATGTGACTAAAACTAAAGTTAAGGAAAGCCTAAGCTATCCTAGAATTTCAGTGATTTTGCCCTTGCCACAGCTGATTTTAAACCTGGTGAACATTTTCTAAGAAGGAGATGTATAATTTGCCTATTCCTGTCTTCAGTTATTCCAGAAAATTATTTGGAATTTTTAGATGTGAATTTTAATAAGTCTGGTATGTGGGAGTAAATTCTGGTCCACAATATATTTGAGAATACTGTGTGTCAACCAGGAAATTATGATAAAAACAGTTCTGAGTCTTCTTAGATGGGTGAGCTGCTCTTCTATTGACATAACAGTACATTTTGAGATCTCACTTTCTCCAGTAAATTTTGTTTATGTGACTGTATAAAGAGAGTAAGGAATGTAAAGAATGCCTTCAGCTTAATGACCATATACAGTCCAGATAATTCCAGCACAGAAGAATACAATAGGAATAAAAAGTTTTGCAGGCAAGTACAACAATTATGAAACCTCAGAATTGCTCAGGTTTGAAAAGACATGACTATGATAAAATATCTCTAAATGCTATAGTGAAAGGGGATAGAAAATTATTAATCTGTGTTTCTCACAATGGTAGAATTAGAGGGATTTTGATGAGGTTACAGGCAGCAGAATAAAAACAAGTAATGCAAGAGAAAGTACTTTTTTTTTATAAAGTGTGTAATCAATTGTGGCTCTCAGTGCCATTTAAGAGACTAAAATAGGAACAATTAGAAAAGCTGATGGAGGGTAGCTTCATCAGCTGGTTGGAAACATGTTGAACCGCATGCTATTGTCAGCTCAGGATGCCACTAATCCTTTGTTGCAGGAATCTGGGAGAGTGTCCCAGCCTGGGGTCTTGTAATACTTTTTAATCCTCTCTTTGTGTAGCATTCCTATGGATATTGTTGCAGAAAAGTTACTGGGTAGATGGACGTTTCAAGAAAAAGTCTGGGTTTATATTTTTATCTGGGAGACATTGGAAGAAGAGAGTCCAGGATGATCTGCAGGCTGGGGGAAGAACGAGAGGAAAAGAATTTGAACGTCAGACCAGCATCAGGGGGAGATAGTGTAATGCATGGGAAACTTGCTGTTCATATACAGTCTGGACATCAGAGTTGGTCTGGGGGGAAAGAGGTGGGCTGTCTTCTGGTAGCAAACATGCAAGGTAAGGATTGTAGACTGAAAAGGATATTGCTTGGAACAGGAAAAGCCACCTGGCAATTCCTCATTAGGGGACAAATCAAAAAGGAAGATTTCTGCTGAAATGCCTCAGCCCAAACAAGTTTCATGTGAACTTTCACAGCACTTTCCCTATTCCTAGGAAAAAGAAAAGAATATGTGGACCAAGGAAAGAAAAGAAGACCCAACAGTAGGCCGAGATCATGTTACAAGAAAGACTTGGAGATCTTTCATCATCTTGATGGGAAAAACACTCCACTACGTGTTGACTCTACCTGAATACCAGGAACATAGGCACTGTGGGAGGTAGTCTGAGACATTGTCAATAACAGCTTTAAGCAAAAAGGTTAAGTTTTCTTACATGTAATATTCCTCCTTGAGTTCAGTACAGAGACAGAGAAAAATAGATTATAGTACTGAATAAAGAAGCTATTCCTCTAGGTCTACACGCTATATGTATGAGCAGACCACATACTTTAATTCTGTTCTACTAGCCTCCTAAGATGTAGGCATGTATGAGATGCACAGGCTAAGTCGAACAGAAACTGAAGTTGAGGACCACTTTGATTCAGTATTTTCATTAAAGACCTTAGTGCAGAGGAAAAAATATGCCTGTTATGGCACAAAACAGGGAGTTATCGACACAACAAGAACCAAATGAAGTAAGGGAAGAAAGGAGCAGCCTTCAGACTACATAAAATAGAAGTAGGATGAAAGGATAAGTAATGTCTGCCAGGATTAATTGCAGTTATTCCTCTAATAACTGAAAACTCATAATTTAGAAATTACAGTAGAAGAAAAAGAGACAGATGGGTATTGACCAAGAAGTATATGATTATACTCACTAATGTCATCTGAAAAAAACCAAATATAACCATGAGGGAACTGTTTCTGATAGGTACAGAGAAATATCAACGTCATTGCATAAGGTACTTAGGGGATCATATCTGGAATATTGTATGTAATATTATTTGCATGCAGAAAATTACTGCATTCTTGTGACTGACAGAAAGGTAAAGCCTAAGGAAAGTATAATTATTTAATTAACCTGTTTCCTTTCCAGTGGACTACGCGTCTTTTAAAGGACATACACATAAAACATTTTAAGTGTTCCTAATATAAAAGTATGTCTTTGGATAGAGAATATAGCACCATCAAAAATGTTCAAAGTGCTGAGCAGGTTAAGGAGGCACAAAGTGATGCAGCTTAATACAGCCAAGAGATAGAGGAGGCTGAGTTACCAACTGGTGTATCTCTTGACAGATCCAAGTTGTGGTCTTTAGTTTTTCCTGTTTTATGTGGGGCTAGAATGAACAGGTGAAGGATCTTCAACCATTGCCTGTACTCCTGATTTTTCTTAAAAATGTGGGAAAGGAAGTTAAACACTCATTTTTCTGCAAGGCATCTTGGTTCAGCTTCCTAAACACAGACTTCTTCTGCCTTTGAGGTCCCCTAGTTAACCTTGTTTGGCCTCTAGCTCCTACATGGCCAAAGAGCTTCTGTAGACCCTGGACCATGTTCACCAATGCCACATTGATCTCTTAGATGCCATAAAACAGCACTGTATTCAGGCAGCTGAATTAATTAAATGATACTGAGTTGATAATTGATTTCACAGATAAAAATATCACACTGTTGGAAGGAAAAACTAGCTAAGCAGATTAGGATCACAGGGCCTTCTTCTATCAGTGTATATGATTTCTTTTACTAGCACACATTCACAAATGATAAAATAAAGCTTTACATATGTTCCAGATATATATTAATAGAAGTTTCAATAATAAGCTTAACATGGTGATATAATGATTTGAATACTTTTATGAGCAAGTAAAGCAGAACTATGATTTGATTTATTTAATTTGTACTTTAAAAATATCTCTTTATTTCCATGGAAATAAACACAGTATTATATAGTTTGTGTTTTTCCTGCCATCTCAGTGATTTCTACAAATACTTGTCCCTTGCTCTGGCTGCTAATTCTTGTATAATATGCCTTATTGCAAATACTTTCAGAAAAATCAATTTAATCCTACAGTGCACAAATCCAGATAGACTGCTTGTCCTATGGTGGCACTGAAAGAACAAATCCTGTTTTTATTTCAGTTGTCTGTCTAGAGCTGAGAGTTTATCACACTTTGTGGTGGTATGGGAAGCTGAATGCAATGCTCTTCAACCAAAACTGCTCTTGATTGTGCTACTGCCAATCTACAATTCCCTGTCACAAAGTTCTGTGATTGGCAGGATGTGGCTGCTCAGCTCTGAGTTTCATAAACCTTAGATGGTCCCTCCACAGCAACAGCAGCCTCGCGATGTGTCAGGTAAGACACAGACCTTTTGTCACACACCTGAGTTGTTATAGGGCAGGTCATACAGGTTGTTATTGATATAATTTCCTTGTTCCAATACACCCATAAATACTTCTTCCCAGTTTTAGGACTGAATGTTGCATATTTCTTTCTTTCTTTACTTTTTCTTTCCTTCTGGGTATGATGCCTTAGAGTTTTTGATTTTTTAATTTTTACAGACTTTAGAAGTAGTTATGTAGTGAATGTAGATTTTAAATGTAGCTGTATTATGTTTCTCACGGTGTTATATCTTTTACCAGTATTTTCCAGTAGAAGTAACGGCAGTAGCCTAATGTTTGCACATACCAAACCCCTTCCCATATCAATCCCTCAAAAGTCTGTTAGCTGTATTAGTCTTTTCAACATGAAATTGCAGAAAGCACCTTAACGCCTGCACCCCAGGGAATGTAAACATGGGCACAACGACCTTCAAGCCCGGAACTTTGGAGGGCCTCCAAGGACTCAACATGAGGAGAGGAGGATGAAGATGATGAAAGAGGGGTCCCAAACTCCCCCAGACTCAATTCCCGAAGGGGTGTGCCAAGGGGCAGAACGGGGCAGAACTGGGGGGTGGACGAGCAGGGATTGGATGGACATCATTATAAAATTGTAGCACATGGGTGGAAGGCACATGCGATGGTTCGTATTCCCGGGGCCTGGAGGCTCATTGAAACTTCTGCTTTCT